ACTCTTCCTTGGTGGAAGAGTTCTAGTTATCTTTAACTTCTAACTCCTCCTTACCTAGGATAAAGTTCTCTTCGAGTAAGGAGTCCTACTCCTTATCAATTATGCAACATTTTCATTTAGGGGATATCAAATATAACCGCTTATGCTTATCTCCTTCACGTGCATGCCTTGTGCTTGAATTTGCCCGTGTCTGTTTACATTGTGTATCGACCTGGTTCATATGTGTATTCCTTTGTCAATCATCAAAACAAACTTAGGACAATAGGTGATAAAGCCTAATAAAGATGGGAGGAATATTCTTGGGGTCTTCTGTAGCGTTTATGCAATGGTCATATCTTGAATTGCTTCTTATCCGGCCACAGATTTGTATCCGGTTTCAGTATCTTATCTGGCCACAAGTTCGTATCCGGTGTGAATATGGTTGAATCACTACTATCACTATTGATTAACACGTGTTGCTTCCTAATTCACTTATCTTCTGAAACTGTTTTTCACCGTATACATATAGTCCCTCCACTTTCCGGTTACTCACTATGATGTGATCGGGAACTGGAATTTTTTCACCCTCGTTACTGCCTCATTAAAAAACTTGCCGAAAAAACCCAATCGTGACAAAAATAACTCTGCCACTTATTATTCCTTCTCTGATGATCGGTTGGAGCTGAAGAAGTGTCGTTATCACAGAAAACTTGATCTCGGGTTTTTAGTGTCCACCCGAAACTTTTAATCTTTGAATTTTAACTTTTGGGTTTTTAGTTATACCTGAAAACTTTTCTTTGAGTTTTAACTCTTCGGTTTTTAGTTATACCTCTTTGAGTGTTGACTCTTGGGTTTTTAGTTGTACCCAAAAACTTTTGTTTAAGTTTTGACTCTTCGATTTTTAGTTATACCCGAAAACTTTTCTTTAAGTTTCTCACTCTTGGATTTTTAGTTGCACCCGAAAACATTTCTTTGAGTTTTGACTCTTGGGTTTTTAATTATACCCGAAAACTTTTACAAACCTCCCAGCCTTTGAAACTGGAGATGTTAATGACCATGAACTTTGTACTTCTGGTTTTGATAAAGTCCGAGAATTTAATGCTCCCGATTAACTTTATGATCGGGAAATAAGACATCCGACCTTTAGCCATTTGATTGGATGGCTTCATAAGAGAGATCCCTTATGTTTACGGTGCTTATGAAGAGGACATCTCTTGTTCATCTGGGCACAAATGTTCGGATTTATAATCCTCTTCTGCTTCTAAGTATGAGCAAATATTAAGAATGATTTTGTTCATTCAAACATATACGAGAAAGTTTTTAGAAAGTGCAAGTTTTGCTTCATTTTATTTCTTGAACGTACACACATGTTTATAACTTTGCATATACGACAATTTACAAGAAATGAACAAAAATACCTTGCAAGAAAATTGCGACTGAGCTGACATCTATTGGGTCTAGCTGGTTCTCGATTATGATTTCTTCTTTTTCTTTTTCCCCGAAGTTGATCTGGCAGTCTCCAGTCCTTTAATTGGTAGTCCCCGATCCTTTTCTTTATTCCGGAGCCAGTTCGGGCTATCTCCGGTATCCTGTATGAATTTTTCCTGAGCCATCTTCAAATAATTTCGATACTTATTATCGCGGTTTCTGCTACTCTAATGCAACAGTCTCCAACATTCGTCGACATTATTGTCTTTCACCGAAGTTATTTTCTGGCGACTTGCTTCGGGTACGGCCCTGCCTCTTGTCGATCCGTGATCCTAATCGGTATGGTTCAAATCGATGTCTAGAATGTCTTCGATCAAAGTTCTGTTGACCTTAATTATGGGCTGTAGAAAATGCCGATGTAATTATCTGATCATCATCTACGCGAATCTTTGACTCATACTTGTTATGAAAATCTGCCCAAGTTGTTGCTTGAAATTCTAATAAACTTTCCTTTAACTTCCTCGAGGCATCAGAGCTTAAGGGATTGAGATCATTGGTAAATGCTTCTGCTACCCATTCATTCGGTACTGCCGGCAACAACATGCGTTCCCTTTGGAACCTTACCACGAACTCTCGCAACAATTCTAAGTCTCCTTGAGTGATTCTGAAAATATCTGCTTTTCTAGCTTGAACTTTTCTCTCTCCGGTGTGAGTTTTAATGAAAGAATCTGCAAGCATTTCAAAAGAATCAATTGAGTATTCAGGTAAATGTGAATACCATGTTAAAACCCCTTTTGTTAGGGTTTCGTCAAACTTCTTTAGTAAAACTGATCTGATCTCATGCAGAGTCAAATTATTTCCCTTTACAGTTGTGGTGTAAGTTGTGATGTGTTCCTATGGATCCGATGTTCCATCGTATTTTGGAATTTGCGGCATTTTGAATCTCTTTGGGATCAACTTCGGAGCCACACTGTTTTTGAATAGCAACTCTATATACTTCTTTGATTCCGAGCCCTTTAAGACCGGAGGTGCTCCAGGAATTTGATCTATCAGAGCATGGAATTCTTTAGCGTTCTGGTCTATTCATTCATTCATTCATTTCCCTCATGAATCTCATAAGCTCGGTTTTGAAAGGGTCATTTGTGTTGTTGTCATTTTCAGATCCACTACCGGAGCCACCTACTTGATTGTTGTTTCTTCTAAACTTCCCCCGATAATAATGTTACCGGTTCTTGGTGTCATTTGATTTATAGGGGCACCAGGAGGGACTCGAACTCCACCATTTGAATTATTTAAAGCCCTGGTATTGCTTGTTGAAGTTCAATCATTATCCAGTCTGGTCTTGAGAGATGGTCCATAATTTCTCGTTGTTGTGCTCTTAACATTTTCACGGTAATAGCCACCGGCTCACCATCCATATCATCAGGAGTAAGACTCCTCTCATATTGAATTTTTTTTTCTACCCAGTTAGGAGTGACTCATTCCCATCGAGAGGGGTTTCACTAGTTGAACCATCTTGTTGATTTCCATCATGGAGATTATCCACGGGCTCATCATTGTAGTTTGTTCCAACATTGAGCGAGTTATTAATATCATTGTGTGCCATAATTGTAGTATGCTTAAAACAGAAAAAAAAAACTTTAAAGCATGTTAGTATAAGATAAACATATCAAAATAAGACCAAAATTGTCTATGCTCCACGGTGGGTGCCAAACTGTTTACCGAAAAAATGATACAGTTGAATTTGTGTCGTGGTTTATAGACACGTGGATTAAATATATCTGATAAATAAAGTAATAAAGAGCAAAGCAAGTAAAATAAGAATAATTTAAGAAAAGACAAGCCCGGACTTCAGAATATTCACACTGGGATCAAGGATAATTGAAAATTTCGATAACACTTGTATAAAGCTTGAGAGAAAGAATCTTAGTCTTTTGCTATAAATATTTCTTGATGTCTTGCAATAGAATATAAGTCTCTATTTATACTAGAGTTATGGGGTGTATGATCTACCAATTGATTACCAATATTAATGCTACAATAAAAGGTAATAAAAAGTCAATAAATAATATTAAAGGGTAATAAATCCTAATAAAGGCTAATAAAGACAGGAAGAATCTTGGGGTCTTCTGTAACGTTTCTGCAACAGTCATATCTTGAATTGCTTCTTATCCGACCACATATTTGTATCCGGTGTCAACATCTTATCTGGCCATAAGTTCGTATCCAGAGTGAATATGGTTGAATCACTACTATCACTACTGATTGACACGTGTTGCTTCCTAATTCACTCATCTTTTGAAACATGTTTTGCCCGTACACAAATAGTACCAAATATGTCTTCTTTTATGTTCTGGGATGGTTTGATTATATCTAATGTTAATTTGACTAATAAATGGATTCTATCTCACTGATTTTGTTGATCCTTAATTTTGTTAGAGATCGGTGGTTTTAACAAATGTCTCCAAAATGATAAAAACATAAGTGCGCCTATATATGCTTCCCGTGAGATGGCTCCGCCCCTGATATTAAAAATTTACTAATAAATACAAAGAATACATCTCGAACCCAATAAATCAAATAAATTATGATAGAATTAGGAACTCCAACTGGAACACGGTCTCATAAGATTCATAGCCTGTTTGGCCAAGCTTCTAAAATCAGCTTATTTTGAGAAGTACTTTTCTCAAAAGTACTTTTTTAAAAAGTGATTTTGGTGAGCATCAGTTTGTGTTTGACTAATTAATTTGAAAAGTACTTTTGAGCAGTAATTAGTATTTGGCCAAATTTTTGAAAACTGCTTCCAAGCGTATTTTTCTCAAAAGTGCTTCTCAGAAAAATGCTTTTGGAGAGAAGCTATTTTTTTCTGCTTCTCAAAAACTGCTTCTGCTTTTCCTAAAAAACACTTTTTTTCCTTCCAAAAGCTTGGACAGACACCTCAATTTTTGGCCAAAAGTATTTTTGGCCAAAAAATAAAGCTTGGCCAAACAGGCTATCAATTCAAAATTTGACCTTGTTAACGTCTAAGGGCTATTGTCACTATTGGTGAATTCTATCAAAATAGCATGGTATGGCCATTTTTATCGGTGGTTATTAAAAAATAGTCATTATTTGTAAAGTTATTGAAAAGTAATTACTACTATTTAAGGCGGAGATAAAATTTGAATAAAACTATCCAACCTGAAACACGAAAAGTTATAGTATAATATTTTAGATTATAAAACTCCTATGTCAGTATATGGTGTTGGATCTCCAACACGTTATGAATTTCAGCTTATTATGCTGGAATCTCATATGTAAAAAAATCTGAACTCCAACATATTATGCTGGAATTTTTTCGAATTTTTAATGGTGTTTTTATTTAGATTTTATTTTCACATAAAAATGGTTAAATTTTAATTACTTTTAAAACTATGACTAATTTTCAATAATTTTTTCCTGTGAATTCTTGTATTTGATGTTTTGAGAGGACTATTCCTTGATCAAGTAATAGATCATTTATTATCATTTTAAAAAAAGATATGATATTTAATTCACCATATATAACTTATAAGGTCCTTGTACCTAAAACCTAGTAAATGAGACCTATCAAAAAACCCCAGACCCCTTTCTGCAAACATTTCACTGTTCTAACAAACAACTAAACAGAATCGTACTTCGTATCCTATAAAGTAACAGTCAAAAATCAGCATCCGTTATTCTCCATTCTCCATTTTTTCAAAAGCTCAAACAAATGCTGTAACAAGTCATGAAAACCCTAGCCCTATCTCACCGGCCGGTTCCCACCGTCTCCGGCCAGCGCTCCTCCATTTTTTCCGGTCACTCTGCCGCTTCAACAGCCACTTCCCTCTCTTTCTCCAGCTTCCCTGTAGCTGCTGCTTCCCGAGTTCGGATTCTCAAATGCTCCGCCGTTTCTCCTCCTCCTTCATTAGGTAATGCTCACTGTCGATTTAATAATTCAGAGGCGAGCCCAGGATTTAAAGCTATTTGATTCAGAGTTCCACTGCATTGGTTACTAAGCTATATATTTAATATTAATATATAATTTATGTGAGGCTGTTTCAATTTTTGAAACTTGCGGTCTAAAACATGTCTTAGACATTTGTATGGCTATACATCAATCTCGTTAAAGTTAAAATGAAAAGTTTACAGTTGGATTATTTTTAAATATAGGAAGGTGTTATTCTTTTTGGTATAAACTAAAAAATAAAGAGGATCTCACAAGTATATATTTGGTTTCGCCACTTTCATTCGGTGCCCTGTATGCCTGTTTAATTCAGAGATGGATCCAAAATATTAAGTTAGCGGGTTCAGAATTCTAGTGCATTGGTTACTCAACTATATACTTAGCACTTCTCAGTATTGGAGACAGGATTTTTGCCAAGGGGATTTTTAAAATTCAAAAAAATAAAAACATGCAAAGAAGCCAAGGGGATTAAACATTTGATGTATATACATAAAGGGGATTGTCTCACACACACACCATATATATGTGTGTGTGTGTGTGTGTGTTTGTGTATTTCAAAAACTCAACTATATATTAAGTTTCACCACCTTAATTTGGTACCGTCCATGCCTATTTAATTCAGAGATGGTTCTAGAATTTTAATACAGCGAGTTCAGAGTTCCAATGCATGATTACTCAGCTATATATTTAGTATATATATATATATATATATATATATATATATATTCCAAAATTTAAATTATATGTTAATTCGCCACCTTCATCAGTAACCTCTATGCCTATTCAATTTAGAGATGGATGAAAAATTTAAGTGAGTGTCTGCCGTCTGCGTCCATTGTGTTCACTGCTTCTCTGTGACAATAGACTTCAACTTAGCATTAATACATATAATTTCCAAAACTNATATATATATGGATGCATTTGTACCTATGCACTTATATGTGTGTATATATCTAAGTCAAGCACCAAGTATCGGAATTTTAAGTTGTGAGTGTAAAGTTGTGCTGCATTCATTTCTTCTTTGTGGAAATGGACTCAAACTTATAGTTAATATTTGCTTTTTGAAAAACTTTCAACTTCCTGTATATATTCGAATAGAACCCTCTATACTCTCTCTGTCCATTAGTTCAGAGGCAGATCAGTACGTTAAGTCAGTGGGTGCAGATTGCTATTGCATTCATTACTCCTATGTCAGAGTCAACTCGAACTTGTCATTGAATGCATAGAATAACCTGTCACCTTCCCTCTCCTCTGAGGCCAATGGCATCCACTTCCGGATATGAGCACGGAAAGGAGCTTACCTCATGATTTGACTACCCCCCCTCCTCCTCTAATTTAGGAGTTGAATAAAAAAATTCAGCAATACATACAGGTCGAGTCAAGGACAGCAGTTGTATGCACTGCTGTAAATAGATTAGCATGGCCCCTTCACAAGGTTGACACGCACAAATTGTGAATTGGTCTGAATTTCTTAATAAAAAAAAGAGTATACCTATCACTAATTTAATTCGCTTGACATCAGTGTTGTGAAGAGCGTGAAGCGAGGAAAAGCGACAACCCCCATTTCGCTTAAAGCAAGAAGCGAGAAGCGAAGCGCTCGCTTTTTTGAAGTGAAGCGGAATTTTAAAAAAAAAATTAAAATAAATACTGCATAGACACCATTTGAAATCTTGTCACAAAAAAGACATCTAATTGCCATCTTGTTGGTCTCGCTAACTCTTGCAGAGTAAGCCCAAGCCGGGTCTTTCCTATCTTCTTTTGGTGCCATTAAAAGAACAACTACATAGCACATAAGAAAGGCAATAAGAACTAAGAATAAAGGATATGAAAACAAGAGGAAGGGCAGTATGGTTCTGTTAAAAATTGGGCAGCATAAAAACAATGAAAAAAAAATTGGGCAGCATTTCAACGAAGAGGAGAAGACTGAGAAAGAAGAACCGAAGGTAAAAAAAAAAAATTCGCTAGCATTTCGCTGCTATTTGAACTTTGAAACAGTGAAAGAAGAAGAAGAAGAAGAAGAAGAAGAAGAAGAAGAAGAGGAAGGAGAAGGAAAATCATCACATACCTGTGAAGACTTGAAGTTGAATCTCTGTTGAAGACTTGAAGTTGAAGAACCCTAGTCGCCTCTTTAGTTGAATCTCTGCTGGTCGTGTTTAATAAAAGAACACTGAAACCCTTCTTTTTTAATTAAAAAGCCTGGCAGCTGTCGCGTTGAAGAAGAAGCGCTTGCATCGCGTCGCTTCGATTGGTCGCTTCTCGCTTTTTAGTGGGAAGCGGTCGCTTTTTTCTACCTGAGTCGCTTCACATGGCAGAAGCGGGTAAAGGGCCGCTTCGCTTCTCTTCTCGCTTTAAGCGAGCGCTTTCTCTAACACTGCTTGACATTAATTTCATGATGGTAACTTTTTGCTGCTTTCTGGGTTTGAGATGGTTTAGTTTGTGCAGTGGACAATTCAGTGAAGTTCAAGGAAGCTGCCAAGCATGGGAATTTGATCCCCCTTTACAGGTCTATATTCTCCGACCACTTAACTCCGGTCCTCGCTTACCGCTGTCTGGTGAAGGAAGATGATAGGGAAGCTCCAAGCTTCTTGTTCGAGTCTGTGGAGCCTGGTTTGAAAGTTTCTAATGTTGTAAGCTCCTTCTTCTACCTCTGTTTAGTTACTTGATTGAAACCAGAATAGCCAAATGGAAAATACAACGTTCTGTCTTTAAAAGACTGATGGGTTTGAATGAAATTCACATATTCAAAAACCACGTAAATTACTAAAACTCACAGCACAGCTTTTTATAGCTAAAAACAGTTTAAATTGTTTCAGTCACAGATCATACAAAGAAAAACTGCTTTGGACCCAAATAGTGATAATTGCATCCTCCTTGGAAGGACGGAGCACTTATATTCTCAAAGACCACATGGGGAATGACTGCTTTTTTGTGCTAATTGCATGCCTGCACCGGCACAATTCTGAATATAACAGAAGTTACTTGCTTGGTTGGTTACAGTTTGCTATGTTTATTGATGATTTAATTATGCTAGGGGCGATATAGTGTGATTGGGGCTCAGCCGACAATGGAAATTGTTGCAAAAGAGAATATGGTGACAATTATGGATCACCAAGAAGGAAGGAGGACAGAAGAATTTGTGGAAGATCCAATGATCGTTCCTCGTAGGATTATGGAAAGATGGAAACCTCAATGTATAGATGAGCTTCCGGAGGCATTTTGTGGTAATAAATTATATTTCAACGGTTTAAGTTTATTAGTACGAATACTAATCTAGCTTGGTGATGCTATCACCAAATTTACTGTGTAAAGAAGCACTTGCAGTTCAATGTCAATTACCTGCCTCATGTGAATGGAAAATCATTGAGTTAAACTTTCGTTTGACAATTTGAAAAATTTCTTCCAAGCTGCTCTGACATTTTGTTGTTTAATTCAGTCCAATTCTAAATTTATTATTCCGACAGCACACATATGCTTATTTAACTGTCTTTGTTATCCCAGCTTTCAGTTTTTGTGGCTTAACATACTACGCAATATGCTTCAAATTAAATTTCTTGATTTGTGTCTAATGGATGGCATGCAGGCTGCAGTTTTAATCTTAATCAGATACGTTATTTTTGCTTTTTTTGGTGTATCTGGAAGTTAGCCCGTGCTTTGCTCATGGTACTTTTCACATATGTTATGCAATTGTTTTTTCTCCCTGCATCAATGACAAAGAAGTAATACAGTTATTGTACAAAACAAAAGGGGAAAAAGAGATTATGTGTTGAATAAGACTAGGCCAAATATTTGGATGTCAGTATGACAATTAATACCTCTATACACAGATTTCATGTGGGAAGAGAGTGAAGTTTAACATACCTAATGCTGCAGTTTTTCCTTTGCAGGAGGTTGGGTTGGTTACTTCTCATATGATACAGTGCGTTATGTAGAGAAAAAGAAGCTACCTTTCTCAAATGCTCCAGTGGATGATAGGAACCTTCCTGATCTTCATCTAGGTCTTTATGATGATGTAATTGTGTTTGATCATGTGGAAAAGGTAATTTAATTTTCAGTCCTCAATAAACCTTCGTCTTATCTTGCTTTCCAGATTTACAACAACAACAACAACAACCCAGTATAATTTCATTAGTGGGGTCTGGGGAGGGTAATGTGTACGCAGATCTTAACCCTACCCTGGGGTAGAGAGACTGTTTCCGATAGACCCTCGGCTCCCTCCCTCCAAGAACTCCCCACCTCGCTCTTGGGGTGACTCGAACTCACAACCTCTTGGTTGGAAGTGGAGGGTGCTCACCACTAGAGCAACCCCCTAATAGCACTTTGCTTTCACTTTTTGTAATTGGGATCAATTTGTTCAATTCGTCATACATTCAACCATTCATTATGGACTGTTCTCTTTACTTATTGAATTTTTCTGGTTTGAATTTCCTGATTTGAGTACTTCTGTGATCAACTCTTGTAGTTAGTGTTTCTGAATCATCAATTTTTGCGTCAAAATGCATCTGGTTTATTAATTAAATAAAACTCAGCATGAATTAGTTCTTAGAGATCAATTTTTGCAGCTGATAAGGTGGTTTCTTTCGCTGTATACAGTATGATGGTCTATTAATTAAATTTCTGCTTAATACCAGAAAGCATTTGTCATACATTGGGTGCGGTTAGATCGGTTTGCTTCAGTAGAAGAGGCCTACAATGATGGTATGACCAGATTAGAAGCATTGATGTCTAGAGTACATGACATTGTTCCGTAAGTTGTTTCATTTTATCTTCCAAAAATAATTACCTTATTCTCTGCTCCTTCCGTCTCATTCATTCGGTTGTACTGGTTTCTTATTTTAGTCCTAGGTTGGCTTCAGGGTCGATAAAACTTCATACTAGCCTATTTGGTACTTCATTGAAAAAGTCGACCATGACAAGCGAAGACTACCAGAAGGCTGTTTTAAATGCCAAGGAGCATATCTTGGCCGGGGACATTTTCCAAATTGTTCTTAGCCAACGTTTTGAAAGACGAACATTTGCAGATCCATTTGAAGTATACAGAGCACTAAGAATCGTAAATCCAAGTCCTTATATGACTTATCTACAGGTGTGCCTGCTTCCTATGAAACTTTGACTCTTCAAATTCTATTTCCTTTTACTAGGTCTCTCATGAAGCATATCTTTTGATTAGGCTAGGGGATGTATTCTTGTTGCTTCTAGTCCAGAAATTCTTACTCGAGTTAAGAAGGTATTTCAACTCTTATGTTTTCTATTCTAATTTGCAGATTGCATTCTAGTTTCTGGTTTTGAGTTGATTTCACCCCCAAATTTCATCCCTCGTTTGTCTAGCATTAGTTTTCCTAATAATCTTAATATTGTCCTTTTGTCAGAAAACAGTTACTAATCGACCCCTAGCAGGGACTATTAGGAGAGGTAAGACACCTGAGGAAGATTATATGTTGGAAAATCAACTGTTGCACGATGAGAAACAGTGTGCAGAGCACATAATGCTGGTCGACTTGGGAAGAAATGATGTTGGAAAGGTTAACACTCCTAATTTTCCTTTTTATTTCTCTCAAGACATAAATGGAGTTTGTGTATAACGGGAGGTGTGGCATATGATCTTCTATATGCCAAGATTTGATTAATTTATGTCTGGACATGTAATTGGGCAATTGAAAGAAATTGCCCATGCTGTGGTTGTAATTCTCGTCTTCACATTGCTTATTGGTACTTTTGATTTCTTCCAGTTTCCTCTGGACTACATCGACCTTTATTATATATGTTAAGGTTGTCATTATGTTGGTAACGTTTCATTTTCTGTCATGGAATGATCTTGTTCTTGTTTTGAATCAAATAATGTTAAAACTAAGAAGTTAGTCGTCTTTTAACTCCAGCATGATATTGCTTATGGAGTTCTCTGATGTTGTATGTTTCCTTTCGCTCCTATATTGAGTTTGCTTCTGCCTGTTGATACAACTAGTTAGTACTCAGGTGCATGATCATAATATGCCTAGTCAAATGCTGAGATAAGCAGTAAAAACTATAGGGAATTAATATACATCTTGTAGTTGGATGCACAGTCAAGATTCTGTATGGCTTTCAGATGCTAACATTTTTTGAAATTAATTCTCCTCTTGGTGTAGTGCTATTAAAATTGATAATTGTACAGTGTAGTATGCAATTCATCCTCCTTTTAGCCCCTGGCTCTGTTGCTCAATGAACTTCTTTATTTGATATTTGAATTGCTAGGTTCCCACTGAATTTTATTTGTTTGTCATTTTAGAATCCTTGTAATATTTTGTCTTTCACTTCGATCATATTTGATTAATTTCGGTTCCTAATTCAGGTCTCAAAACCTGGTTCGGTGAAAGTTGAGAAACTAATGAACGTTGAACGGTATTCTCATGTCATGCACATCAGCTCCACAGTGAGTTCTTCTCAGATGAATTTGAGTTTAATTATAGCTATTCTTTTACATGGGATTGGGGATTTTCAGGTTACTTGCATCAAGGTCTTTTCCCTGAATACAATCTTTAATCCATTTTTCAGTGGTTACAGAAGCACCAGTAGACTTGAATGTTGTGAAATTTAATGATTTGTCTAGCTTGTTACAAGTTAGTTCTTGTCCAAAATATGCAGGTTACTGGAGAGCTACTCGACCATTTGAGTAGCTGGGATGCTCTGCGTGCTGCTCTTCCTGTTGGAACCGTTAGTGGAGCACCTAAGGTTCTTCAATCATCTTTTACTTTTTGTAAAAATACTCCTTTTGTTTCAAATTTATGTGACATAGTTTGACTCGACCCGGAGTTTAAGAAAGAAAGAATTTTGAATCTTGTGGTCTTAAACATGCTATAATATTTGTGTGGCTATAAACAAGCTTTCTCATTTAGGGTAAAATGAGAAGTTTAATGTCAATTGTTTCCAAATATAGAAATATATTATTCTTTTTGGAATGAACTAATAAGGAAATAGTGTCACAAACTGGAATGTGGGGGTAATAATTGTGAAAAAGAAGTGTCTTGGTTATTTGCGTTCTGGGTAGTTTCTGCTGCCGAATGTCATAAATTGTGGGAACTGGATAAGCTGATGACCCTAGTCTTTGGTGCCACTTCTCCGAATTTGGTCAGTTGTTGGAAATGCTGATAACTGAATAAAAAGTGTATGCATCTCATCNGGGGGTGGGGGGAGTGCGGAGGGCAGAGGGCAGAGGGCTGAGGCTATCCCTAGGGTTATATCATATATGTGTTGAAGGTCCCTGAGCTGGAACTTGGAAGAATTATTGATGTGCTTTGAGGCATTTCACGAAGGAATATATAGCTGTGATAGTTTTCAATATCTTTGTGTGTTTCAGAAGGGTCAATAAATACTTCATGCTTCTTGTTTGATATAGGTGAAAGCCATGGAGCTAATTGATCAGTTGGAAGTCACAAGACGTGGACCATACAGCGGTGGGTTTGGAGGCATTTCTTTTACTGGTGAAATGGACATTGCCTTAGCTCTGAGAACCATTGTATTTCCAACTGGAACACGTTATGACACCATGTACTCATACAAAGATGTCAATAGGCGACGAGATTGGATTGCTCATCTCCAATCTGGGGCAGGTATAGTGGCTGATAGTGATCCTGCTGATGAGCAAAGGGAATGTGAAAATAAAGCTGCTGCTCTTGCCCGTGCCATTGACCTTGCAGAGTCATCATTTGTTGACAAAGAATAGATGTTGTCCTATTGTAGAATTTTGTTTCATCAATTCCTTTGACACAGGAAATTCTTTTTGTTTCTTGATGAATGCGGAAAAGTTTTGTTTTTCAATTTTGATAGTCTGTTTTGTTGGCAAGTGACTGATATCCCACCGATGTCAAAATTGCTGTAGTATTGCCTTCACCAGCTATGTTGGGGTGCCACAAAGAATCCAAAAATGGCCTTATGAGTTGTAGTTTTCTGGTTTACGCATTTTTGGTTATGTAGTTGTACTGTTACAATACCGTGTTCACAATTAAGGTTTACATAGTGCAAGTATACATCTCCATTCCCAAGCTTATGTATATTTTTCTAATTGGTTTTTGATCTAACTATTCTCTATGGACAACATTTGAAGAGATAAACAATTTTGAGAGTAAATTCGGTTAGGTGTTGCAGCAACATTGTTAGTAGGTATCTTTAAAGATGGTCCTTAGGGTGTGGTTGGTATGACGAAAAATATTTTATTTTTGACAAATTAATTCATTTTTTCTGGTGCTCTTGAAAGGGGAACACTGATCTCTGCACACATTTTTGGGTGAATCATTTTCCTTCACATTTAAAGTATGGTGTTATATGGGCCTTGAATTAATTTATACTAAATGTTAAATAAACCAAAAACCGACGAAAATCTGAAAGATAATAACATGTGAATTGTTGGTAGGGGCGTACAAACCGAACTGGAAAATCGCACCAAACCGATTAAAAAACCCGACTAGGTTTGATTTGGTTTGGTATTGAGTAAAACAAATTCGAACCAAACCGACATATAAATATATAATTGTTATATATACTTTTAAGATTTTATATAGAATTTTCTTTAAAAAATGTCTAGAAATATTTGGGATTCTCTTACGGGATATAGTATTAAATAGAATATGAAGTGCTCCATATTTATTAACCTTAGATAATGGGTTGTATGATCACTTTCTTATAAGCGTTACTGAAATGCGTCAATCTCTTTGTTCTTCCATATTCATATGTCAAGATCTATTAAATTCTTATATCTTTTCGAATTTGAAGTGATTATTACTCCCTCCGTTTCAATTATGTGAACCTATTTTCTTTTTAGTCCGTACTAAAAAGAATGACCTCTTTCCTTATTTGGAAATAATTTACCTTTATGCAATGATTTATAGCCACACAAAATATATGTGCCTCATTTTACGCCACAAGTCTTCTCTTTTTTCTTAAACTCCGTGCCCAGTCAAATGGATTCACATAAATTAAAACAGAGAGAGTATTATTTAGGTATCATCTTGATTTTTATGTTTGGTTACTAAATTCGGTTAACCTTGAAAGTGTATATCAACGAAAATTATTGTCAGACGACTAAAAAATTAACTATCATGTGTTACTGAGAAAATTCTCCCATAAGAATATTTTAATAGATAATATGTTTGTCAAGTTTTTAAATTTTTACTAAACATATATTTACTTATAAAAAATTTAACAAAGTAAAATTGAAATAATATTTAAGTAACAAAAAATCAGAAAACCCCGACAAAACCGAACCAATCCAAACCAATATAGTTGTTTTGGTTTGATTTTGACAAAATCGAACCAATCCAAACAGAACCAAGTTGTCTCCGTATGACCTGTAGGTCACATGCTTGAGCCGTAAAATCAGCCACTGATGCTTGCATCAGGGTAGGCTATTACAACATACCCCTTGGGGTGCAGTCCTTCTCCGAATCCTACGTGAACGTGGGATGCTTTGTGCACCGAGTTGCCATTTGAAAGAGTTCAACACAATCGTTTGCCGCCTCAGTTTTTTGGGGTCCAAGAAACCCATCTTTGTTTTTTTTTTTGGAAAAATGGTGGTGTTCGGGCTAACTTACATGTACTTCGCTGCCCCACGTGCCGCGGTTGTGTGTTTTTGTCAGAGTGAATCGTTTTCCTTGCGTTTTGAAATTAGGATGTGGTTCTCGACCTCCGAACGCGATCCCGACTTATTCCACTATTGCATCAAATACTTGCTATCCCGCACCGGCACAGACATCGGGCGACTCTGCCTGCCAACGCGTAGAATTCTATCTCTGATTAAATGAAGTCTATCGAGAACCTGCCTCATATTCATTCTGTCTTGTAGATATTCTGCTGAACATGTTACTCCAATTTGAACAAGAGAAATCAAGCATTCAATCCATTCAGTCTTGAGGTCTCCCTTGTATGCTGCTTCTTCCAAAACGGATTGGTCAATAATTTCTAGCACGCGATCTGGTAACGAATTTTTGACAAAGTTGTGAAGGTTGAAACCATCTTGAAATGTTTCATCTACGGGACTTTTACCAGTGAATAGCTCCAACAAGAGAATATCATAGCTGTAGACATGATGCAGCACTTCCCATGCCATATTCTGTACCAAAAAACCCGAAAAATGCATTAATGTTATCGCACAAATTAATGTTCTATTATTAAGACTAATCTTCTTTAAAATACTAAAAATAACCTGGAGCTGTATAACCAATGGTTCCTTTAACAATTAGGGAGCTGAACTGATTCACATTAGTTTCCCTTTTGAATTTTACAAGTAGCCGTGCCAAAACCAAAATCACTAACATGATTGTATAGGGAAAAATACGACATGACACGTGACCGCTTAAATGAAGGACACGTGGGACACAAGATGGGGATGACCATCAAACATAGATGTTCTGCTTGTCACCGGAAGAAATAACGATCATAAATGGAGTATTAAATGCTTTGCGCCCGGTAACATTTAATATAGAATATTTTGCAGCATTAAGGATGATGGTCCGTTACAAGGAATTTAACATTTATGTCCAACGTTACATCTTCATCAATGACCCTTATAATTGACATTAAAGAAGGGCATGATCTTAGGACTTCCTTTCCCTATACATAGCTATAAATATGGAGTTCAGTGATCATTGTCAATGGACGAATTTTCTGGCTAACTTACACTACATTCTATACAATATTTTAATATAATTTTATTCTCTCGCTTTTGATCTTATCATTGTTGTGCCCGAAAATTTTGTTCCCGAACTCATTAGCTCTACTGTTTCATCTGCATTCTAAGGCTAAGTATTTTATATTTCATCAGTTATTTTATTACTTTTTGGATCAAATTAATTCACTTGTCTATAAACCACGAACAAATTCAACTGTACCATTTTTTGGGTAAACAGTTTAGCGCTCACCGTGGGGCCTAGACAACCGTGCAGCTAAATTGATCCTTGCCTATTTTACTAACGTGTTTGATTATTTTGTCTTAGCAAAAATCACAAAAGAAATGGCAGATAACACTGTTAACGACACGCGCAACCCTGAAATTCAAGGGGAACAACCTCATTTCGAGGATTCAATCAGTGACACTCGCAACGAGGGGAATGACACCACACCAGTGCATGACGGGCGATACCCTCGACAGGTTCGGGAGAGGACTCTTGATGATGCTGATGAGGAGCATGTAGCGGATGCAGTGAAGGTCCTGCAAGAGCAACATACAATCATTCTAGGCCATCTCACGCGGTAGGATTAGGTTATGACGAAACTAAAACAGGCACTGTCAGGTGCTTCAAATAATGCGAATAGGCGAGATCCAATTCCTCCCGAGGTTCTCGCAAACCAAACGACGTAGAGAGTCGACAACAACACTCCCAGGGCGAAGTTGGTTCCAATGGGGTCGGGGGGAGTAGATCCGGCCTCAACAACGATAACAATCCGTTCAAGGAGGAACTTTTGCGGTTCGTGAAGGAAGTAAATGCCCACATGGATCAAATCCCGGGCGCGTCACCAGTATTGAAGGGCCCGAACTCGAAGAAGTATATTCAGTTACCGTACAAGCCGAGTGCAGCCCCGGAATTGATCCCGAAGCGGTTCAAAATACCCGAAGTGCCGAAGTATAACGGAACTTCAGATCCACAGGAGCACATTACCACCTACACAACAACAGTAAAATGAAATGATTTGGCTCCTCACGAAATTGAGTCCGTGCTGCTGAAAAAATTTGGCGAGACTCTCTCAAGGGGAGCTTTAACGTGGTTTTCATTATTGCCCGAGCATTCCATAGATTCCTTTGAGATGCTTACAGATTCCTTCATCAAGACTCATGCCGGTGCTAAGAAGGTACAATCCTGAAAGGCCGATATATTCAGGATCACGCAGGGAGAATCCGAGTTATTACGAGAGTTTGTCACCCGATTCTAGAAGGAAAGGATGTTGCTACCAGCAGTCCCGGATGAATGGGCAGCTGAAGCATTCACCAAAGGTTTAAATCCGAGAAGCTCGGATGCTTACCGAAAGTTGAAGTAAAGTCTGCTCGAGTTCCAAGCAACGACTTGGGTGGATGTCCACAACCGGTACGAGTCAAAAATAAGGATCGAAGACGATCAAGTTGGCTTTCCATCGTCAATCAAAGGATGGGAGAAGAAGAGAGAAAAAATGAAAGATGATATTAACACACATAGACGGACTTTGAGGGGCCGGTTTTTTCCCTACTAGCGGACAGAAGGTCGTGACAGGAGCTTTCGAACATCAGACAAGTTCACCGTTGATAGAAGGACCGATCATGGCCGGAACTACAGATCGCTGCATGATAGAGAAATCTTGGGGTAGCGAGATTCTTCTTACCCAAAGTTATCAGAATATAACTTCAATGTCAGCGTCGTAGTGTTGGTATCGGCCATGAGGAATATAAAAAAGGCACGATTTCCAAGACCTACAAAATCCGATCCTAGACAGAAGGATCACAATTTATGGTATGAATACCACGGCACTAACGGCCACCGGACTAGGGACTGCCGACACCTCTGGGAAGAAGTGGCAGCGCTGTTAAAGAATGGTCACCTTAGAGAATTCTTGAGTGATTGAGCTAAAAACAACTATGGTCGGAACAGGGGCGATGCGAAAACCTCAAAATCAGGAGAAAAACCTCCACGCCAAATGATCAATATGATCTTCGGAGGGAATGAAATTAACGGGGTCACCTTTTCGGCAGCGAAGAAGACAAAAGTGTCAATAACTCATAGTAAGAGGCTCCGGGAAGATGATATCACATTCACGGATGAAGATGCAGACGGATTACTACTGCCGCAAAATGACGCACTAGTAATTTATTTAAATGTGTTAGATTTTAAAATTAAACGTGTTTTAGTGGATCCAAGAAGTTCAGATAATATCATACAATGGAGAGTACTGGAGCAAGCTAAACTCATCGGAAGCATTATCCCGACAACGAAACTCCTCGATAGATTCAACCTCGCAAATGTGACAACCCGGGGTGAAATTTTGCTGCTCACGAACGCTGAGGGAGTAATGAAG